GACTTGCTTCTCGTCGTTTTCTTGTGTAAAAACATCCAAGAACCCCTCTAACCGGTAGGTGCCAGGTCATACGTGCTAACGAAAGGACACTACCTTTATCGAACGTAAAGGAAACGCAACTGCGCCGTTTCTATAAATGTACTAAATCATTTATTCGCGCGTATATAAAGACTTATTTGCGCTACAAAAACTTTTACCGGCGTGCTCTTTATCGACAATTTCTAACCTGCCCCCTGCGTACACTGCAGCCGAACTGAACGCAATGATCATAATCAGTCGAAAAGATTTAAAAGGCCAAAAGCGGTGCATTGAAAGCTGAAGTATAGTCTCCCGGCTCTTACTTCGCTACTTCGCGCAAGAGAAACACATTGAAAAATTCGTTTTCGAAAATAGCTCCGTCGGCTGCATGCGTCACGCAGCCCGACAAGATTCCCGGACATCTTGCTTTGCTTTTTCATTTCACAAACATGTTTGGATTTCGAGTTAGCATGGCTAATATCCAGTTTATGAGAAACCGTCGTATAAATCAAAGTTGTATACGAATAATAATGTGCGCCGAAATGAATACATCGTAGAAGCTTTTGTCTCCTCATTGTAACATTCGCGCGCGTATATATGGCCAAATTGGGATTTGATATCGCCCACTAACTTGGTGGTGTGTTGAGGACTCATTGTTGACGACTCGCGGATCTATGGCGGCTCAGATGGCTCTTATATGCTCCAACTATCACAGCCTGGGCTATCGGAGAAAAAACTAAAGTTGGTGATAATAAATGGCCCAGCCTTTAGTGACGAAAGTAATGGTCACACTGGTCGAAACATCGCCAACGTTGTCGCTGCTACTTGTCTTCTTCAGGACGCAGGTCACGCGCGCAGACGCGCGCTCTCTCTCCCATGACAGGACCGTGAGCTGCCTGCGCGCGGCAGATGAAAAGAACTGAGATGAAACTCTCACTCGCGATTGTGTCGGTGAAGGCATCGAATTATTCTCACTCAGGTGGCAAGCAGCTGCTGCTGCCTACTTCTCGCGTTTGCTCCGGTTTAATCAATCTGTCCGTTATGAGCGACCGTCGGCTTCATGCGCGCGTAGAGGCGCGGCTATTAAAACATCGGCGGTACATAGATACTCTCCCTCCATTCTTTCTTCCCTGCTTGCCAGCCACCCTCCCTCCCCCTCCCTTTCTCTTGTCTTCCTACATTTTTCTCCATTCTCCTCCTCTCCCCCTCCCTCCCATTCACCCTCTCTCCCCCACTAACTCGCTCTCTTTCCCGCTCTCATCCTTTCCCTTCCTCCCTCACTCCCACATTTCACTCCCTTCTCTCTCTTTCTCTCCCTCGCCCTGCCTCCCTCCCCCTCTCCCTCCCTCCTCGTCCCTCTCTCCTCCTCCCCTCTCCTTCCTAACACTCTCCGTCCCCTTCCCTCCTCCCTGCGACCTCCTTCCCGTTCTTCCCCCTCGCTCCCTCACCTGGCGGCGCTTCCCTCCTTCCGGCGGTCCTGCGGGGCCTCCGCTCCCCCCTGCCCTCCTCGCCTCGCCTCCCACCTCCTCCCTCTCTCCCTCCTCCCCTCCCTCCTTCCCTCAAGCTTTCTTCATCCCTCCCTCCTTCCGCGTGCCCTCTCCCTCCATCCCTCTCCCTCCTCCGTCCCCGCCCTTCCTCACCTCCGCTCCCTCCCTCCCTCCGTCCCTCCCTCGCCCTGCCTCCTCCCTTCCCTCCCTCTTTTCTCTCCGCCCTCTCTCCTCCCTGACCTCCCTCTCCTTCCTCCTTCCCTGTCACTTTCTTCATCCCTCCCTCCTTCCCTCCCCCTCTCCTCCCTCCTCCGAACCTCCCTCCCTCCCTCCTCTCCCTCCCTCCCTCCCCTCCCGCTCTCCCTGCCTCCCTCCCTCCCGTCCCGTCCCTCCTCCCTCCCTCCCTCCCTCCCTCCTTTCCTCACTTCCTTCATCCCTCGCTCACTCACTTCCTTCCTCATTTTCTTCCTCCCACCTTTCTGCTCGCCCGTCCTCACTCCCTCCTTCCCTTTCCGTTCCCCCATCCATCAATCCTTCTCCTGGACTGGTTGACCGACAACCCGGAGGGAACAGACACCTCGGCATGGCAGGTTTACTGTTTACTCGACACAGTGGTCCACGTTTTATTGGGGCACAGGTCGGGCGGGACCCATGAAAATGTCCCTATAAAGCAATAGTCTCGATTGCAACGTGCGCACGAACTGTTTTTCAAGGACACTCGTCGTTTAAGCGATGCGTCTGTTTACCCGAGACCCGATAAAGCGGGGGACCACTATATCTAGTTGCGACATAGCTGACACGGACCGCACAAGTCGCATCGCTAGCACAAATACCGTCGCTGCCCCGCTACGTGATTCGTGGGCGGTGAGAGTGGGGAAGGTGTCCTCGGGCGTTTGTGATAATGTTGTTATTAATATTCATAGCGTAATCGTGTATACGAGCGACAACGACGGTGAGGGCTTATCAATCACGTGGCTTCCGACTCACGGCGAGACTTCAAATGAGGATCTTGCAGCAGCATCTGGCGCATGAGCGAATGCCGTCCCTGGTCATAGTAGACAGATGCGATGTTCGCTAATGGCTGACATGTCTCCGTACGCGCACCGCCGCGACGGACAAAGTATGCGCGATGAAAAAAGTTCGAAAATATCGTAATTTTAATTGAGGACAATGCGACCGTGTTCGGTTTACTTAAGCTGACCATGGTTCTAGTCGCATGCCCCGTATTATGCCTGTTAGTCGAATGCCAGCATGTACGCCGTGAAATAACAGCGATGGCTTCGTTTGCCTATAGCTGCTGGTGCGTGCTAGCGTGCTACTCACAGACGATAAACTATACCTCTATACACGCAGACGAGCGGGTGCGTGGCACTGATAGCATAAATGCGCAACTTCTCTGCTGAGTATCGCGCTTCAACGCGTTGCTGGGCGTCAAGAATTAAACGACGAACAGCGGCAGAAATTATTTCAACAAACGGCAATGCATTTATTATATAGGCGATCGGTTTCCTCGTTGCACGTTTAAACCACGGCGAGATGACACCCTCGCGTGCACGCGATTGCTCGCGCGCGGGAAATGATGTCGTTTAAGTGGCAACGCGGGTACCAGCTTCATTGTCGGAATTGCTGTGATTATTCATTTTGAAGCAGCACTATACTGTAAGCACGTTAACGGCATAGCGGTAAAACAAGTTCACGACCGTACGTCCAATACAAGCACATAAACTACTCTCCGATGCATTACAACGAGTGCGTATACTCTTTCTCTTTTTTTTTCTCGGAACAGTGTACACTAGCAGTATGATACAAGCAGACGGACTGCTGCTACGTAATTCTGGTAACCATAAACAACTTCTGGCAGTCGACTGCTGAAAACACAAGAGCAAGTCTGCTCACACACCGCGCGAGACGACCAGAGGCAGTTCAGTCATCACATTCGAAGAAACATTTCTTGCAAACAGGTGAAAATAACACAACACAAAAGTAGGTACTACCCTTGTTGACGGCTGACGCTAGGCAATGAGCACAGCCACAAGGATGTCCAGTAATACTTTGTATCTTATTTTAAAGATTTCAATATTTAATGTTTTTTCTGCCCGTCAATGTGAGTCGGAAACTTTGACTTCAGCTATTCGGGCTATCAGCTTCATAATGTTAATTAATATGATTTAATGATAGCTAGACGAAACCGATAGAGACCGAACAGCCAGTATCAAATCATGAATCCTTTAACTCTCGTAGCTTCCTAAGTAAATTTCTAAACTAATTGAATTTCGATCAAATAAAATTTATATACTTCATAAATATTCATAAAACCATAAATTAACCTATTACCGAACATTATTCAACGCTAATTAATGCAACAGGCTTACGAATGTCATTCGCGATCATCGTAAATGCCCAGAATATCTTATCATTATCGCTACATTTTCTAGTTGCGGTAGGTTTCAGCCTCCCCCACACGTCAAGCCCGTCCGTGCTACAATCTAGATATTCCGTTTCATCCATGCCGTAAGCCGTTCATCCATGATGGCAGCGGTTACAGCCTATCCAAGCCGCCACTGGCGACAGTTTAACGCTCCCATGCTACATTAGGGAGATATGTTTACAACATGTACTACACAATGCTACTACAGACCGAACAAGAATACAGTTAGGACAACAACAGAATAGAATAATTTTGTCTCTTCGTCTCGGTTTTCTTAAATGCGTATAAACTCGTTAAAGCATAATAGTTTTGCTAACTAATACATGTTCAGTCCACCGTGTGACGCTGAGATCGCCACGGGTGTTCGATTCCGTGTGTGACTCTTCGCATTGAAACAACTTGAGAAGAAATTCGTTGCGTCCGGTTTATTCGGCCGACGTCATGCCTTAACATGTGTTACGAGTAAATGCCAAGCATCGCCGCGCCATCCTTTCATCGTCGTTGCAGTTGTCAGCGTCTTTGTATACATGCGAGCGCACGATGACCTTACCATACCCTCTACTTATAACGACTACTTGCGATTTTGAGAGCAGCAACTAGTAACATATCGTGTACCCGACTCTCTCTCTCTCTCTCTCTCTCTCCATTTATCGGTCTCTCTTTGTTTATATCTTTTATATCTTGTTGCTCTGTCTCCGTCCCTACCTAGCACTATATCTTTCTCCCTTCCTCTTTTCTTCCCTCCCCTTCCCTCGTGCGCTTTTCCCCTTCCCACCTCTCCAAACTCTCCTTTCTTCCCTCCCCCTTTCTCCCATCCTCAATATCTCTCGCTTCCTTTCTCCATCTCCCTTTCTCGCGCTTACTATCTTACTCTCTTCCTACATCTCTCTCGCTTCCTCATTCTCTCTCGCTCTATTTCGACATCCCATTCTCGCTCTCTTCCTCCCATCTATCGATCCCTTTCTTTGTGTCTTTCTCCCCCTCTCTCTTTATGTATATGTCCCCCTCTCTCTCTTTGTGTATCTCCCCCCCCCTCTCTCTCTCTATATCTCTCTCTCTGTCCTTCTCTACAGGGCTGTCGTCGCGTCGCGTTCGTTTTCCGCCTCGCTGAGATATTCGAGCTCGCCTGAGCGGTTGCTCTGATTGCTCTTGATGCTCGACTTTAGCTTCAGTCGCTTCAGGTGAGCGTTGGCGGGGCTGTTCGTCTCCGGATCGGCGACGTCGCAGCGCAGCGAGTTGCGGCCGGCGTGCACGAGGGTCGTCTGCGCCGTGTCGAGCGAGTTGCCGTTGCAGCGGCACTGGCGCGGCTCCTGTATGCAGCACGACAGCGCCGACTTGAACTCCTTGCGAAAGTTGTCGTTCAGGTAGGCGTAGATGAACGGATTGTAGCAGGTGGAGCTCATCGCGACGACGTGGCAGAACGAGAAGGTGACGAGGAAGTGTTCGGAGTAGGCGAGACGCTCGTTGATGCCCGTGATGATGACGTGAAGCGTGTTCAGCGGCAGCCAGCAGAAGGCGAAGATGAGAACCATGCCGATGAGCATGCGGTTCGTTCGTCGCTTGCGCCTGATATCCTGATCGTCTCGCTCGCGGCACGTCCGCGAGCCCATCTTGCGGCGCACGCGTTCGCTGAGTCGCATCGAGACCATCGCGTAGCAGAACGTGATGATGATGAGCGGGAAGGCGAACTGCACGAGCAGGTTGGCCATCGTGTACATGCTCATGTGCGCGATGACGGGCCAGTTCTCGCGGCACATGCGATTCTCGTCGACCGTCATGTACACGCCCATCGGCAGCGACATGCTGACGCTAATAACCCAGACGAGCAGCAGCACCAGCACGCACACAGACATCTTCATGCGCGGCTTGAACGGGTAGCAGATGACGACGAAGCGGTCGACGGCGATCGCCGTCAGCGTCAGCGTCGACACGTAGACGCTGATCGCCTGGATGAGCGGCACGAGGTGACACATCACCGAGCCGAAGTACCAGGCAGGCAGCCAGGTGCTGAGCGGCGTGAAGGGCACCGAGATGAGGCACATGAGACCGTCGGAGATGGCCAGGTTGGCGATGAAGATGTTGGTGACGGACTGCATCGCCGGGTTGCGCACGACGACGTAGCACGTGAGAAAGTTGCCCGCCGTGCCGACGATGAAGATGACGGCGTACGCCGCGTAGAACATCACCTGAATGTGAATCTCCTTGATGCCGTAGTACGTTCCGTTGGCGATAGTCGCGTTCTCCGGCTGTTCCGACTCCATGTTCGTCGTCGATAGTGTTCTATATGTTATAACGTATATAGCTAATATATATTCGCGCGTATATGCGTATATGTATTTATATATGTATGTATCTAATAACAACGGATAAATAATTGATCGCTTCCGCGTGCGCACGGTCAGTAGAGACTAATTTGCGTTTTAGTGTGCGCACCTTCTATGACATCTGTCGTTTATGACCGTGTCGCATATATGACTGCGACATATATGTCAGAACACCGAGCAATGTGACACTCACACACGCGCGCGCATACACACGAGCAGTCGCGTACAACTATATATATATACGGATAAATAAATATAGTGTTAATTGTGCGAGCGGAGCACCTGCTCGAGGTTGTAGTAACGCTGGTCTCTCTCTCTCTCTCTCTCTCTCTCTCTCTCTCTCTCTCTCTCTCTCTCTCTCT